ACCAGAGAGGTAGCTACATGCTCAAGGTCACAAAACAAGTAAGCCACACAAGAGGATTATGACCCCACAGTCTGAGCTCAGAGCCTAAACACCAAACTACTAAGCTTTACCATCTCTCTCTTACCACCACTGCATCCCGCCCTGCCTCCTGACGGTCTGTCCCTCATCCACAAACCAGTCGCTCACCACTCACTCTTCCCTCCCTACACTTACCTGACTCACAGACTACTGCTGCTGTGGTCTTCCAGACTCCAGACAGGAGGAGGCAAGTCAGTCCCACTGCAGCTGCCGACTCCCACTGTCTACAGGTCATAGTGTGGCCCACCAAGGACAGCACACCGGGGATTTATTACCCTAACCCCCACTGGCTTCAACTCTACCGTGCCAAACTCATTCCCTGCCCCTGCACTGAATCATCTCCAGTCCCTCAGCCACGGTGTGGGCAACCTCCTCGATTGAGGAGGCCCAGCCCAAAGGGCTCTTCTCCTATGACCTCTTGCCTGGCTTTCCCCTAGGCACTCACAGAGCTCTTTGTCTAGAACTTATTATGGCACCTAACACACAGGGTTATAATCACACGCTTTCAAGTCTCTCTTTTCCAAGAATTCCTTACAGCACAAACCAGATCTCATTCATCTTTTGAACCTCCATTGCCTGGGCAAATAAGCTCTGGGCAAATAAGCATTCAAAAATTTTTATTGAATAAATAATTGCCCTTCATTCTAAGAGGCCATTCCAAGCAAAACTAGTGGCCAAGATCTATTAACTCCAATTCAAGTTTGTATCTGCACACACACACACATGCATGCACGCGCACACACGCACGTGCACACACATACACACACACTCCTGGGAGAAACTGGAGGTGTGTGAGTCTCAGAGCTGGGCATGCTCAGCTTCTCTTAGTTATCTGCTTGAGCAGACCCTTTTCCTAGGTTCTCAGGAAACAGAAAGCCCCAGCTGGACAGGGGACCTGACACAGATGGCTTGGAAACCCACACATTGGGGGCAAGCATAAAGTGCTGAGGAAACACTAAGAGGTCTGACTTCCCCTGGAAAAACTACAGTCAGACAGGAAATACACAGGCAGGGATGACAGGCAGGGATGGCTGGCTCTGGAGATCTGGACACATGCTCTTGCCCCTCTCCCAGTGGGACCAATCAGCCAGGACAAAGAAACCCTTGATGTCACTTGCCTGGCCTGGCCTGCTCCATGCGCCTATGCCTCAGAGCAGGCCTCCTAGTCTGTTCCTCTTTCAACAGTCTGATACCCGGAGCCACAGGTGCCAAGTTCCAGCCAGCTGGTTCCAATACCAGCCACCACCACCTCCAGCCCACCTGCCTTGTCAAGGCGGTTAGCTGTTTTCTTCACTACCCCAACCCACATCAAAGGATCATGCAGAGCTGTCCTTATGTTTTAGTTTTCCTGAAGTCAAGGAATCTTTTCTCACTCACCATCTGAGAAGGCCTGGCATTCTGAAGACCTATTGATGAGTCAACCAAAGACAGAAGCCCAGGGCTCTAAAAGTCCCCACAGATATGCTTAGCCAGTATTTGGAGAACAGCCATAGAGTCCCCACAGTGACCCTTGACCACATAACATCACTAAACATTGGTCTGAACCATCTCACTCCAGAAAAAACTAGCTGAAAAAGTGCAGAGCCAGAGCCTAGGGAGGCTGAGGATGTCTTGGGATGCAAAAGCCAAAGAGGTCTTGCCCTGTATGTACAGTCTGAGCACAAAGGCTTCTCTTTACAGACGAGCAACTCGGACCCCCGAGAACCTGCCTGACGCCCAGCCCTAACTATAGACTGGGCCCAGCAGAGGTGCTGTGCCACAAATTACTCCCCATACTTCCATTTCCTCATTTATAAAGTGGGGTGTCCCTCCTGACTGCCCCCCCTCAAGGGCCTTTGTGAGTATTAGCCAAGAAAACAGGATGAAAAGTCTCTATAGCACTCAGCAGGAAGTCTCTAATTGCTTTTTATGCACTTATGTCACTATCTGCAACATAAAAAGCCAAACACCAATCTGGTTCCTGTCACACCACCAAGACAATCAGAAAGCGCCCAAGCACTTCCCACCTCCCTTTAGAGCCAAACTCCTGCCCTAGAAGCTGGCAGGTGCCAGCCCCATTTCACAAGTGGTAGAGAGAGGTCACACAGAACAGAACAGGACAAGGTCTTACACAGGAGTGTGCTGCGCTTTCATGGAACCACAGTCTCTCATTTAGGACCATGGACACCCTAAGGGTAGCAGAGTGTCTCTTGGGCAGGCTTCAGGATCAGCAGGAACGGTCAGATAACCTGAAGCACCTGGGTAACAGGTGGGGTGGCAGCCAACTAAGCCAGCAGACCAACCCTCCTCAGAGTCTGCAGCAGGAGACTGCAGGCATCAGAGCCCACCAACGAGCTGAGCCCATGAGTGGAGAGAAGCAATGCGGGGCTCCAGAGGGACGCTCTATTTGCAGGGTCTGAACTCCACACAAGTGTCTAGAAGCACTTTTGCCCCAGGCCCCTTTAATCTAAGCCCCCAAAAGGAAAGGACCAGGATGCCTCTATACCCTAGGCCGCCTTCCAGTCCTCTCAAATCCCAGCTAAATGATGAGATCACTGAATCTGCATACTTCTGGCTGACCAACCCCAGGAGAAGGGGATAATCAGGTCCTCTATACTCCTGCTTCCATCCCTCAAAGCCCTGGGACACTTTAAAACTAGAGCGTGCCTTCTCCACACTACTTCCTTCTGTTCAAGACCCAACTTACAAACAAGGAGCCAAATGTGCAACACTCTACTCTCTACATTGTTTTATGAGATGGGTGGAAAAGTGGGTAGATAGGTTAGGGCAAAACACACACACACACACACACACACACAAAAACCCATTTCCTCCCTTTCCCCCAGTAGCAAGCTAAGTGAAACATGAACTTGACCCCCATCCTCCTTCCTTCCTGTACCCTCACCCCCTCCTACAGCCACACTCCAAGCCCCTCAACCTTCCCTAGGAGGGCAGCCACAGTCTTATTATTAACAGGTCAGTTTATTAAACATCTACAATGTATCAACACATTTGCAATGTGTAGGTATTGATGTTTTACATCAATCATCTAATTTAGTCCCCAGTGCAACCAGTTATGATTGCTGTATTATTACCTCCATTTTACAGATGGGCAAAACAAGGTTCAGAAAAGGTTATATAACTAGGCGAGGAGTATACAACCAACACACAGGCTTCAAATCCAGACCTGCCTTCAAACACTGTGCTACAATTATTGCCTGCTGGTCCCCAACATGGTTTAAAAAATACCAAGCAATCTCTATCTGGGAAGCTCCTGCCACCAACTCAGCACAGGGAGTATCACAAAGCAAGGGTGGACCTGGAGTATGATGTTCCCAGAACTGTCCCAGCTCTTTGCAACCTGTTCTTGCTCCACTTCAGAATCCAGTCTCTCAAATCACTAAAATGTTCTTCCAGTGGCTGACAGGGCACTGAGGAAGGCAGCTGCCATTTCTTGGTTCAGCAGCTCTATCAGATCTGAAGTTTGTAGTTGAGGACGGCTGCTACCACAACACCTTCCTTCCTCCCAATCTCCTCACTCATCTACACGCATGCACACCAGACCCAAGAACCTCGGTGGGAGCCTCTCCAGGGCTGTCGCTTCCTGACCCCTTTCTCCACATGCCCCTGGTTCTAGTACCCATCTCTGGGGGGTCCTTGGAGGAAACAACCCACAGCCTGGGGTTACAGAAACATCATCTGTTCACACAGGAAGGCGAGAGAGAAAGGAGGGCAGAGCTGAGTGCCCATCCGGCCACAGCTCAGGCATGCAGTGAGTGCAGTAACACACTGAAAGATCTGGGGTTTTTTCAAAATCCCCTAACCCCCTCCTCCCACTAGAGACCTGCGCAAAAGCAGCCAAGCTCAGGCCTGGCAAGGCACAGAGGCAGGAAACCAAGGGGGGAGCCACTGTCGGCTCCCTGTGGCCACCGGACACAGGACACAAAGGGCTAGACCCCAAACAGGCTACCCGCTCTGAGACAGGAGTACCTGACGCCAAGGCACTTGGACTGGCCTGTCTGGGGCCAAGCTTCAGGTGGGTGCTTCCAAGTGCAAGGGCACAGCCCCTTTACCCAAGAGCCTGCCCCGGCTTTGGGCACCGGCATAGGCCTCCAAAAACTCAGCTTTGGGACAAAAGCAGCAGCAAGTAAAAGCGGCCTTTCTCAGGCTTCGCCAAGACAGAAAGGACCACCTTCTTCTCCCTCCCCAAGCAGATGAGCAGGCCTAGCCCTGTTTCAAAACCAGCCCTACCTCAACATCTGCCTAATTTTTACCCAGGGAACCCAAAGGTTCCCTTGCAATGAAGAGCCCAGCCTTGGGACCCAGGGAATCTCGCACCGCTCTTTCTGCAGAGGGGGAGGGCAGTGACCCTCGGGCCCCGATCGCGGGCAGGGTGGGCGCAGCTTGGCTCCCCTCGCCCGCCACCGCCGCTCCTTCCCGGGACTGGAGGGGCTCGACGCCTGCCCCGCTGGACTCCAGTCCGCCAGGATTTTTTAGGCCTCAGGGAAAGACGTCTGGAGGAGTCCCCCCAGCCGGGGGAGGGGGCGTCCTATCAGGTGACCGAGGATTTGGATGATCCCCGCCCCCCAGTGACCACCGGAGCCGAGGCGGGGGCGGGTCCAGTGGGGGTGGGGAGAGCCCAAAGTTTGCCCAAGTCGCCAGGGAGGGCCGCGGCCGCGCGCGCCTCGCCAGCCCCGCGCGCGCAGCGGGCCCGGGGGCGGCACTTACTGGCCCCCTCGATCTTGTCGGCGCCGCGGCTCCACGTGATCTGGCGCGTCTCCAGTTTGACCTGGAAGGTCTTCCGCTCGGGCCGCTGCGACTTCTTGGAGTAGAACAAAGTCATGACGGTGCCCACCTCGAGGCTGCGGCAGAGGTGCAGCACCTCGGCTTCCGAGGGCGCGCCGGGAGCGCAGCCATTGGCGCAAGGGGACGCGGCGCCCGCCATGGCTCCGACGCTGGGGGCGGCGGCGGCGGCACAAGCCGGAGGAGCCGGGAGCAGGAGGAGGAGGAGGCGGCAGCTGAGGCGGCCGGCGACCGGGACCCGGCGGCGGCTCCTGCGGGCGGACACGGGGCGGAGCCTAAACACCGAAGGCGGGGCGGCCCGAGGATCCGCCCCGCCCGCGCGCCAGGAACAAAGGCGCCCGCGCGCCCGTGGGGAGGACCCCCGCCCCCGGCCCACCGCGCCTGCGCCCCGCGACCCCCGGCCAGGCCGCAAGCGGGGGCGCGGGGCGCCATGGTACGCCCCGCTCTCAAGCAATCCGTCCGTCGCTCGGCCCCGCAGAGCTTCCTCACGCGACCCCGGCAGGGCGCGGGGCCTCCACCGGCCCCGTCACGCACGGCAGCCCCGCCCACAGGCTGCAGGCCCGCGACCGACCGGCCCGTCAGTCAGGCGCTCGTGCACGCGAAGCCACCCGCCCACTGTCCCGCACAGGCCCGACCGCAGCCTCCGCGCCGCCCGCACAGCCACCTGGAGAAGATGTGAGGGTGCGACGCGCCCCTCGGGTCCGCCTGGCCAAACCCAATTACCTGGGCGAATTGCCCGGCGGAGGGAACCGGGCCAGGCCGGGCCGCCTCACACCCGCGGCGGCGGCGGCGGCGGCGGCGGCGGCGGAGGCGGGTTCTCCGCGCGCCCTCTTCGGGGAGGAGTGGGGGCGGGGCATCCCGAGGATTGGTCAGCGGGCTCTGATGGACAGCGTTCTGTCCCGCCCCCTCCCCCTGCCCGCGCAGAGCTGGCCCACAGGCCGCCCTTGCGAAGGCGAACCCCACGTCCGTCCTGCCCTTGCGTAGGTGCCCTTCCTCGGAGAAGCGCTTCGGGCGTGAGCATCCCCCGCAGGGCTCGTTAAACCCGCGCCCGCGCTGTCTGGAGACCTGACCTGTAGCCCCCAGCGGCCCTGTCTCTCTCCCTCTCTTGGCGTTGCCCGTTGCTCCTCGCCCTCGTTCCCCACGAGGCAGGACGCAGGTCGGATCCGTGAGGCGGGCTCAGGCCCTGCCTCACACCCCTCCTGCAGGTGCGCTCCTGAACTTTGGTTTTCCTGACCTCGCTCTGGACTCTGTCCTGGGCCAGTACCCATGGCGACCTGACTTCACGCAGTGCGCCGGTACCAGTGCCTCCACCTCCACGTCCCACTGTCCGCACCACGTTGCTACCTAATGCGGCTGCCTCACCCACACTCCCACACGGCTCCCCAGCCTTCGCTTTCTCAGAACATGGCACCAAACTCCTCTCGATTGCATAAGCCAAAAACCTGGCCAGTAACCTCGATTCCTCTGTCTGCCCCAGGTCAGATCCACCGAGGCCTGTTCACTTTGCCTGCAAGCCCACCAGGCCGTGGCCTCTCTCACCTGCGTCTGTTCTCCATGTTTAAATCTTTTAAAAGAAATAAAACCATGATCACCTACCTCTGGTCTACTATTCTCCCGCCCTGAGTGGCACACAGCAGGTTCTGATGGGCCTGGCCCCTTCCTATCTCCTGGCTTCTTCACTCTCTCTCCTCCCGTCAGCAGGCTTCTGTCTGGAATCATTCACCCTCTTCGTCTTCCTGAATGCTGTGAAAACTGAGGACATCTGCGGTCATGGGGAGGCATGCCTGACACGTGTTGCGCCAGGTGCTGCATTTCAGAGAGGCGCGGCCCAGCAGAGCTTTCCGGAGAAAGATCCAGGTGAGTTGGGATTTGTGAGGACAGGAGAGCATGTGTTCAGGCAACCGCACCCAGTACTAGGTGTGTGGAGCTGCCTCTGACTATCTCGCGGTGGTAGTAACTTGCGTGTGTGTGCATGCTCCTGCACTTTTGGTTCCTTCAAGTGTGGCCCCTAAGGCTCACAGCACTAGGCTCCTGTCAACTAAGGGCCAGCGGGGGAGCTGAGATGGACTGCCACCTAGTGACAAGCCTTTGAAGTGGGAGGCAGGCTGATCCTGATCACACGTGGTCCTCATAATCACCCTCTAATCAGGGACACTGGTCCCCAGTTTACTGATGAGGACGTTCAGAGAAGTTCTACATGACTTACCGAGCGGCCACGTCACTCACAACTGGGGACTTGAACCTATCCACCTCTGTTTTCTGCCTCACAAGAGGGCCTCTGGCTTAGGTAAGTCCTGGTGGTGAGCAGTCAGTGGGCATGAGGCTAGATGGCTACTGGCACAGGGAACCTGGCAGAACATTAGTGGTCAGAGCGTGGCTTGTACTCAAAGTGCCGCTGTCGCTGAGCTGCGAAGCGTGAGGAGAACAGGAGATCCAGCCCAGCCCCTCGGGGGATTAACAGACCTTAAACAAATAAGCACTCTGTTCTGTAAAGACACTTGTGATGAGGGCTCCAGAGGAAAAGAACAGATGAAAGAAAACACAGTGAGGTTGCCAGTGCGGCAGCTCACTAGGCTAATCCTCCGCCTGCGGCGCTGGCACACCGGGTTCTAGTCCCGGTCGGGGCGCCAGATTCTGTCCCGGTTGCTCCTCTTCCAGTCCAGCTCTCTGCTGTGTCCCGGGAAGGCAGTGGAGGGTGGCCCAGGTGCTTGGGCTCTGCACCCGCATGGGAGACCAGGAGGAAGCACCTGGCTCCTGAATCGGCGCAGCATGCCAGCCATAGCAGCCATTTGGGGGGGTGAACCAACAGAAGGAAGACCTTTCTCTCTGTCTCTCTCTCTCTTACTAACTCTGCCTGTTTAAAAAAAAAGAAGAAGAAGAAAAGAAAACACAGTGAGGAGGCCTCCCTGTGGCTCCGCAGAGGTCAGATGGGAAGGAGTAGGTGGCTGGGTGAGCTGTTAAAAGTTGATTGGAGGAAGGTACTTTCCAGGCAGGAGGCCAGAAAGAGGTGGTTAAGTTTAGTGAAGGCTGGAGTTTCTTCAGTGAAGGAGAGTGTGTGGGGGAGGGGTGAGCAGTGAGTAGAGCCCCTCCCTGCCTGTCTGGTCTTGTCCATTTTCCTATGAGGCACCTAAGTGCTGCAGTTCTTTCCAAGCTTCCTGTGCCAACTGCAGCGACCTACAGGCTGTGATGCGCCTTTGAAATAGGTTCCTCTCTTCTGGGAGCTTCCCAACATGTAGCCCCAGGCTTCCGTGCCTTCACTCTTGCCTCTGTGGCAGGACCCCAGGGGCTGCCAACAGGAGCCTGAGTTTTCAGTCTGCTGCCAGACTTTAGTCACTGAACAGGGTCCCATTTTCCTCTTGGGACTTCTGGGCCAGCATCCCAGGGCTCAGGTGCCTCTTGCCATCAGAGGAGGTTCAGGAAAAGCAGGGCACACAAAGGGTGTGGCTGGGGTGTGGGCTTCCCCCAGCTCAGCATCTCTCTGGGTGTGTGGGTGTTGCTGGCAGTGCCTGCAGCTGCACTGTCTGAGAGGAGCAGCCTTGCACCCACACAAGGCACACGCCTGTGACATCATCCAGGCTAGCCTTGCATGGGCCTATTTCTGCTAACACTCATGCTTCAGCATGCCCTGGCCTATATCACGCCTGGGCCTGGAGCCTGGGGAGAGTCCCAGCCCTCTTCTGGCCCTGTTGGCTTGGCCTTGCAGCTGTTTTTTTGTGGTGGTTGTTGTTGTTTTTTGTTTTTTAAGATTTTATTTGAGAGGTAGAATTACAGAGAGAGAGAGAGAGAGAGACAGAGGGAAAGGTCTTCCATCTGCTGGTTCACTCCCCAAATGACCACAATGGCCGGACCTGAGCCGATCCAAAGCCAGAAGCCTCTTCCAGGTCTCCATGTGGGTGTAGGGACCCAAGCACTTGAGCCATCTTCCATTGCTTTCTCAGGCCATAGAAGAGAGCTGGATAGAAAGAGGAGAAGCTGGGACATGAACCGGTGCCCATATGGGATGCAGGCTCCGCAGGTGGAATCTTAGCATATTACAACACAGCGCCGGCCTCCCAGCTGGTTTTTAATAACCGTTCAGAGCAGTGGTTGGCATATAGTAAACACTGCATATCTGCTTTGTACATATTGTCTCATTTCTTCCTCATTACAACTGTATTGGACAAGTGTTCATATTATTCCCATTTCACAGGTGAAAAACTGAGGCCCAGAGGAAAGTACGAGACATGCCCGTGGTCACACAGCTAATGGGTGGCAGAGACAAGATTAAAACTTAGTCTGGTTCTTGAGTCAGTACTATGCTGCCTCCCATATATATGGACAACATATTGTGTACCCTCACAATACGTTTCCCAATCATCCCTACCTAATATGTTTTCTGTTTTTCACGAGTTTGTTCAGTGTTGTCACAGATGGGTTCTTTGGGAAGCAGACTCTGACAGGTTAGTGTGCAGTGTCTATCAGCGAGTGCCCCTGGGCCCAGCGCTTTGGAGGGGGACAGGAAAGGGCATAGGGAGAAATGAAGTTGCGAGGCAGCTTTGCCACACATCTCTCTGCAGCTGGGGTACTCTTGGGCTGGTAGCTAAAGGTTTTCTGCTGGCACCTCACTCTGCCCACCACAGATGTATTCTTGTCCAGACAGACCTTGAAAGGAAGTTTAGAGTACTTAAAGAACAAAAATACCGTTCTTTGGAAATGGGATATGAGACCTTGAGGAGGACTGTGCAGTGGTTACATGGGTTAACATAGCTGTGGCAATTGAGGATCCAATGTGGCTGAACTTCCTGGTAGCCAAAGCAGTACCTCTTTCTATTCTGATAACCAGTTCCTTGAGGGTAAAAGTTATCCTGGGGTTGAATTACAAAAGTTTCTCATTTGGATGCTTCCTTGATTGAAATAGTGGAGAATGTTCTCAACAGCTTAGTTACAAATGCTAACACAGTTTTCATTTGTCCTTTGAAATGCCCTTGAGTGAATAAGGAAAGCATAATATAAAAGTATATCTCAACAGAGCCCCTTCCAGTGTCTAATTTGATTGATGCATAAACCTATGTTCCTTTTCTTCCAACTGTTCTTTAATTTCTTTTTTTAAAGGTTTTTTATTTATTTTTATTTATTTATTTTTATTTTTAGACAGGCAGAGTGGACAGTGAGAGAGAGAGACAGAGAGAAAGGTCTTCCTTTGCTGTTGGTTCACTCTCCAATGGCCGCCGCAGCCGGCATGCTGCAGCCGGCGCACCGCGCTGATCCGATGGCAGGAGCCAGGTGCTTCTCCTGGTCTCCCATGGGGTGCAGGGCCCAAGCACTTGGGCCATCCTCCACTGCACTCCCTGGCCACAGCAGAGAGCTGGCCTGGAAGAGGGGCAACCGGGACAGAATCCGGCGCCCCGACCGGGACTAGAACCCGGTGTGCCGGCGCCGCAAGGTGGAGGATTAGACTAGTGAGCCGCGGCGCCGGCTCAACTGTTCTTTAATTTCTACTGTGCCTTTTGCTTGCTGTCTGTATGGTGACCCTCTCTGGGCTGGTGAGCCAGCCTGCACCTCATCCAGAACTTTCTAAGTACTTGCCTCAGTGCGCTTTGAGCTGCACCCAAACCTGCTCTTTAGGCTCTCGACCCCTGGCCCCAGCATCTCCATAGGCCTAACACTTCTTCGGACATGCCCTTCTGCTTTCTTCTTCATTTGGGATGTGTGTAGCTCAGTCCCTCAGGAGTCCTGTTTTCTCTTGCTCAAGGCAAACCTCATGCCTGGCCCAGCCATTCCCAGGGAATCTGCTCACTCCAGACTTTTGCTACCTCCATGCTGATGGGACTCAGAGAGGCTCTCCAGCTGGGTTCCAGACACCCTTACTCCTGGGGTGAGCAGACATACTGTAAATCCTTCACTGAAAGAAGAGGGAAACCCTTGCCAATCAGTGACTCAGGAAGGAGCCAACGTGCTTTCTCCTCTCTCTTCTAGCAAACTTCCCTGATCTGCCTCTGGAGCACTTAGCACAGCTGCATCAGACCATTCCCTACTGCAGTACAGGCACAGAAATGCCAAGAGCCAAGGACAGTAGAGTGTGCTAAGGGCTCCTGGAGCACTAAGAAGGCACTCTTGACCTCCACCAGAACTGTTGGTGGCTGTGGAGAGAAACAGAAGTGACAGACAGCATTTATGAGGATATGCCAGCTCCAAACAAGGTGAACTACTGTTTTCATAAGGGTATTCCAAGGTGCTTTCTGGTTTTTTTGCAACTAAAATATTAATGTTTTTAGAGATGCATGATTCAAATGTCCACGTATAAGTTTGTATTTAAAGTATTTATAATTGATAAATTTTGGTTTTTCTGTAACTTGCAGAAATACATTCTTTACATGAACCTTTGATTTCTATGTATTTTTCACCATGAGAGCCACTTTTTGAGTCATTTAATATAATTTCTCAAAGTACATCACCTTTACTGTCTTCTAAGGCTTTTTTGTTTGTTTAACTCTCTGCAGATTTGCAGAGGCACAGGCAGAGAGAAAAAGAGGTCTTCCATTTGATGATTCGCTCCCCAAATGGCGGGAGCTGCACTGATCCGAAGCCAGGAGCCAGGAGCTTCATCTGGGTCTCCCACCTGGGTGCAGGGATCCCAGCACTTGGGCCATCCTCTGCTGCTTTCCCAAGTGGAGTAGCCTGGACTAAAAGCAGCACACACATGGCATCATGTTGTTGCAGGCAGCAGCTTTTCCCACTATACCACAACACAGACCCCTCTAAGTTGTTTGAAAGAACATTTTTGCAAAATTTGCTTTGAGGAATGTATATAAATACATCAATTTTATTTTCAAAGAATTATTTTATTTATTTGAAAGACAGAATTAGAGAGTGAGAGGTCTTCCATTCTGCTGGTTACTCCCCAAATGACTGCAATAGCCAGAGCTGAGCTGATCTGAAGCCAGGAGCCAGAAGCTTTTTCGGCGTTTCCCACGTGGGTGCAGAGGCCCAAGCACCTGGGCCATCTTCTATTGCTTTCCCAGGCCATCACAAGAGCAGCCAGGACTTGAATTGGTGCCCATATGGGATGCCCACACTGCAGGTTGGGGCTTTAACCTGCTGTGCCACAGCGCCGGCCAAGACATCCATTTTAAGTGTAGTTTGATGAGCTTTGACAAATCTATACCCTCATATAACCACCACCCAGTCAAGTTAGAAGAGCATTTCCATTATGCCTGTGCTAGCAGTCTCCCCAGCCCTTATCCAGCAACCAGTAATTTACTTGGTCACTAAAGTTAGTTTCGCCTATTCTAGAGTTTGATGTAAATAGAATCAGGTATATACTTGTGTCTACTTTTTGATTCAGTGTATTGCTGCAAAGAGAATACTTTACTTGGAAGGCAGAGAGAAAATCTCCCAACTGTTGGTTCACTCCCTAAATGCTCTCAACAGCTGGAGCTAGGCCAGGTCAAAGCCAGGAATTCAATCTGGGTCTTACACATGGGTAGCAGGGACCTAACTACTTGAGACATCAGGTGCTGCCTCCCAGGGAACACATTAGCAGGAAGCTGCAATTGGGAGCAAAGCTAGGACTTGAACCCAGGCATTCCAACATGGAATGCAGGCTTCCCAAGTGGCATCTTTACCACAGTACCACATGTCTACTCCAGATATTTTTTTCAATCAGTATATGATGCTGGCACTAGACATAATTCAGCTTAAGCATAATTATCTTTTAATATAATCCAGATGAATATTAACAATATTCTTTTTATTTTGACAGGTGGACAGTGAGAGAGAGAGAGAGAAAGGTCTTCCTTTGCCGTTGGTTCACCCCCTAATAGCCGCTGCACTGCGGCTGGTGCACCGCGCTGATCCGAAGCCAAGAGCTTCTCCTGGTCTCCCATGCAGGTGCAGGGCCCAAGCACTTGGGCCATCCTCCACTGCCTTCCCGGGCCACAGCAGAGAGAGCTGGACTGGAAGAGGAGAAGCCGGGACAGAACTGGTGCCCCAGCCAGGACTAGAACCTGGGGTGCCGGCGCCGTAGGCGGAAGATTAGCCTAGTGAGCAACGGCGCTGGCAAACAATATTCTTTAAACATTGTGTGAAGAATCTCAAGTGTGTTTAGGTTGTAAACAGCATAGTTTAGTGAATATCAGTCACAAACCCATCAGCTTCCAAAATCATGAATTACTGGGGCCGGCGCCGTGGCTCACTTGGTTAATCCTCCACCTGAGGTGCTGGTATCCAATATGGGTGCTGGCTTCTAGTCCCGGTTGCTCCTCTTCCAGTCCAGCTCTCTGCTGTGGCCCAGAAAGTCAGTGGAGGATGGCCCAAGTGCTTGGGCCCTGCACCCGCATGGGAGACCAGGAGAAAGCACCTGGCTCCTGGCTCTGGATCGGCGCAGTGCGCCAGCTGCAGTGTGCCAGCCAGCCGTGGCGACCATTTGGGGGGTGAACCAACGGAAGGAAGACCTTTCTCTGTGTCTTTCTAATTCTGTCAAATAAATAAAAAAAATCATGAATTACTGACCACTGTTGCTTCAGGCCAAACTCTCCTGGTCATTTTCATAAAAATTCTGATTCTATCATGTTATTCATAAATATTTGTTTTCTAAAAATATTATGTATTATGTACACATTATCAATAGAATTATCAATTTGAAAAAAAAAATAGTGATCTTCATGAGGATTGTCTATGTGGAGTACTTGGGATTGTGAGAAATACTAAGTTTGTGCTACATTTCTTTGCCTGTTTACTGATTTTGTCTTTTAAGTATCCAAAACTAGCTTGACTGAGGTCATTCCAGGATAACATGTTTTCTCAAAAAAGTGCTTTTCAGTTCAGTACAAGTTGAGAGTGTCTCATTATATGAGTATGAGGGAATTTTTAAGGCCTCAATTTTCTTTTCTCCTGTATTCAATGTGTATGGTATTTAGAAAGTGACTAAAGAGTTGGCAATTACTGGATGTATGAGATAACGACATGAAGGATGATAATTACCCTGGTGTCTGGGTTGGGGGCTTGCAGGTGTGGTGCTTTTCACTGAGATGGCTTGGAGCAGTGGGAACTGAACCCATTTCCAGGGATGTGGAGATTGAAGTGCCCATGGACTTCCTTTGTAGAGATGTAGTTGGCGGCATGTCTGGAGCTCACGGAGGAACTATTGGCTGGAGATAGGAGTCATCACCCTCAGGTGTGAACAGAATTAGCTAGTGAGACAAGAACCACGGCACCTACGTACCCCTATTAAAAGAAGTGACTCAGCAACAGCCTGATTTAAAAAAGAAGTGGTCAACAGCATCTAGCACCATAAAGAGCTTAAGATCCAGAAAGAACCTGTTGATTTGGTCACTTAGTCATTGGCAGTTGTGGTTAGAGCCAAGGGAGGGAACTGGGGGCAGATGGGACAGAAGCTAGCTGCAGTGGGTGGGGAATGACCGGGTGGTGTAGATGACTCATGGCAGGTGCTTGTTTGTAGAATGAAGGAGAGGGAGAGGGGGGTAGCTGCAAAGTGCTGGGGTTGGTAAATTTTTTCAGTTTTAAATGCGGTAAACACCTGAGGTAGATTTGATGGCTTTTGGCAAGGAGAGCAGACAGGACGCGCTGACCGGTTATGAGGCTGCACCCAGATGTCTGGTGTGGATAGCAGTGGGAGCTATCCCTACTGGCCCACAGCTGGGTTCAGGCAGCATGGAAGGGTCTTACCAGAAAGAATTTCAGATCTTGCCCATGTGGCCAAGCATGGATGGAAGTGAGATCTACCAGATGATTAGTTAGGCAAGTTAGCAAGTCTTTCAAAGCATTTTCCATCTATTCCCCCCCACCCCCACCCCATCCATCCAGCCTCTTCTCTCATCCCCAGTGGCCAGGACAACTTCGCATTCTCTGGCTTTGCTCTCCTGTGGGCACTTCACATCCTGCCCTTCACAGTTGTATTGACTAGCATATTGTTGCCATGTCATCTGCCTTTGAAGATTTGCAGGGGATTCCTTGTCAGCGAACAATACTGGCAGCTTCTCAGGCAGGTGGTTTGCCTGCCAAACCTCCTGTTCCTGATTTCTAGTTGTGGACTAAGGTTGTCCCCTAGTCATGCCATGTACTGCTTAAGTCCCAGATGTCCAATCCACTTTGTCACCCACCCAACCACCACAGCAAATCAACTGGAAACCAAAGAACCTCTGTTGCTATTCCTTAGATTCTACATTCTAGCTACCTCGACACCGTAGAACTCAAAAATACCTGGCTATGGTATCTTGTTCCTGAGAATGACAGCTACAAAACCATTTTTTATTTATTCCCTGGTGGATGTGATCTCCCTCACTAGTCAATGAAATACAAGCTGTCTAGGACTTCCAGAATTCTGTTTTGAGCCCAGCACCAGCCCTGTCCTGGGCTCTAGGAAGAACCAAGACCAACAGAGAGAGAGGTGGATTTCTTCCTTGAATACATGCTAGCAAGCTAGACCACTGTGGTTTGAGAAGTTTGCATTCCATCTGGTGTACTGGTGTAGTACCTTTAATTTTTACTATCCTGTCTGTAAACTCTGCCACACAAACAAATCCAGAGGAATTTTTTTTTTTTTTTTTTTTGACAGGCAGAGTGGACAGTGAGAGAGAGAGACAGAGAGAGAAAGGTCTTCCTTTGCCGTTGGTTCACCCTCCAATGGCCGCCGCTGCAGCCGGCGCACCGCGCTGATCCTGGCAGGAGCCAGGAGCCAGGTGCTTTTCCTGGTCTCCCATGGGGTGCAGGGCCCAAGCACCTGGGCCATCCTCCACTGCACTCCCTGGCCATAGCAGAGAGCTGGCCTGGAAGAGGGGCAACCGGGACAGAATCCGGCGCCCCAACCGGGACTAGAACCCGGTGTGCCGGCGCCGCAAGGTGGAGGATTAGCCTATTGAGCCACGGCGCCGGCTCAGAGAAGCTTCTTTAAGCTCTCTGAAAATTAACTCAACAACACCTGTTCTATCCTGCCAATAAACATTGCCCACACCAGACTTTTAGATAGTTCTTGCGGATTTTCTGTACCTCCCTTAATTTCTAGGCCTGCCTGTCTTATCTAGAGCTGTGGAGTCTGGATCCCCTTCACCTCATATCCATCGCAGGAGGGATATACCCCCTTCTAGGCCAGACCCCATCTGCTCCCACTTTGCTGACCTCAGTAATAAAAAAAAATTCCAGACTAAGTCGCAGTCCCAGGGCCCTAATTCTGGTCTGGGGCCCTTGGTAACAAAGAGGCAGACACTAAATTTCCGTTAAGTTGTAGGAATTTATTTTAAATAACCTACAGTTGATTAAAAGGGAATTCATGATAAAAATAGAAGATACTTGAGGAAAGATGTGGGAAATGGACTCTGCACACACGCTAAACTAACAATGCCTCTAAAACTAATGATTATAGCAAAAAATGTCTTCACATTAAAATTCTGCTTTTTATGTTTTTTCCCATTTTTTACACAATTACAAAAGAAAAAAATAAAAGCCCTAAAATCTTGATTATTTTTCCTTTTTTTTGGACCAAATACTCATTTTCCTCTAAATTTACTGACCTGTGGAACTTTTTATACCATAAAATCTTTCAAGTGAAAGACTGGGGTTTAAAAACAAAAAGATGGGACATCTTAAAGGGTACAGAGAATGCTCAGAACAAAGGATGATGGGAAAATGGTTTCAGTCACTGATTATTTCATTATCCTTAGACTCACTCGCCCTTCATCCCTCCCCAACCCAATCTACACGATCTTTAAGATCAAGAAAAAGGTTTAAATATTTTAAAATAATTAAAAAGAAATAAAAATTCACATTTAAAAAGGAACACTCAAGTCAGGAAATATTTTCCCATCATGCTTTTCTGTGAATAGGTGTCTGAACCAAAACACTGCCGATGTCACGACGGCTTCAAGTTTAATGAAAACTGATTCCCATGACAATAGAGAGTGACAACTCTAACAGGTGCGCTGGGTTTTTGTTCTACTTAATTTTAATTCCTGAAACAGGGGAGAGGGAAGGGAGTTTAGGAATTCATTTCTATTAAAATATAGAAGTTATTGCAAAACCCTAACTGTAAAAACGCACCAATATAATCGGACTTCGCATACAGTAGCTAAGAGAATCCAAACATTTCAGTGAAACAGTGAATTTGTCTGGCAGATTGCTGACAAATTCCCATCCACTTGCCCTCTTGAAAATAAAAACAAAATTCAAAACAAATCATACAGCTAGAATTTTGATATCTGAAATATTTTTTAAATAAGTTGTCCATAGGACAACTGGCTCAGCTCTCCCTTATAATATCTCCAGGTTTATCTTTTCGCAAAGATGGTTTGTTAAGACTTGCTGCCTCTCTCCCTCAAGTGTGAGGGCAAGTGAGGCTCACAGTTTTTCCATCTTCCCCAAACCACACTGTTCCTTTTCACAGAACCCTGCCCTTTCAGACTGGCTAAAACTCGTAGTCCTCATCAGCCATGTCGATGGCCCAGGCAAATTTCTCCCGCTGGGTTTTATTGTAAATTTTCTCAATTGGGATGCCCCACTTCTTGCACCTGCAAACAAAGGAGAAGGGGAATTAGTGTGATTCAGAGAGCAATGGCCGAGACTTGAAGTATAGGTTCAGATGTGCCACAGCTAGTAAGTAGTGGAGCTAAAATTTGAACCCAGCATGGCTCTTTACCACTGTACCATAGATACTGCCTCTTAAGAGCTAACTAAACCTCTCCTGTAACATCAAACTAAGCAAAAAGGGTAAAAAATCTGGGTGGAACCTCTGGCCTAGAACAGGTGTGAGTGCAGGCACAGAGAACTTAAGCCTTTGCTATACCTTTTTGTGTAGGTTGTTCAGATCTGTATTCTCATTTCTATACTTTTTCCTGCCATTCTTCCTCAACTTGCAAAGATTACATTGAAAAGTTATGAAAGTGTAGATGGACAAGCTCTTCTATTTTTTCCTTCAGTAAGGGCAAATGATTTCCATTCCTGGAGCCAGCGCTGTGGCACAGTGGGTAAAGTCTCCGCCTGCAGTGCTGCCATCCCATATGGGACCTGGTTCAAGTTCTGGCTGCTCCACTTCTAGTCCAGCTCTCTGTTATGGACTGGGAAAGCATCAGAAGATGGTCCAAGTTCTTGGGCCCCAGCACCCGTGTGGGAGACCCAGAAAAGCTCCAGGCTCCTGGCTTCGGGTCAGCCCAGCCCCAGCTGTTGCAGCCATTTGGGGAATGAACCAGAAGATGGAAGATCTCTTTCTCTGCCTCTCTCTAACTCTTTCAAGGAAATAAATTAATAGTTTCCATTCCTGTCCAAAAATTTCATAAGGATGATAGCCACCTTAGAAAAATAGAAAATAAATACACTCAAAGTGGGTCTAACAGTATTGACCATCCAAGATGTTCCAATGTTATTTAGACAAGATTTAGCAGCCAGAGCACCAAGTACACGGCAGAAGTTAGAAGTTTCCCCAGAGGACAAGTGTGTTGCTTAGAATGGCATGTGGCAGCCCACAATGCTCTCAGAACCCCCTCCGCCATCTTCAGTCAGCAGAAGAGCAAGACATGCACAATGCTTACCAAGCCACTGTGATCCTAGGGTCCAGATAATTGAGTTTGGAGGTTCCCAAGGCTATTTGTTTATTCTCCTCTCGGTCTGTAGCCTGGACTTCCAGCTTCATCAGCTGCTCCTCCAATCTTTGCACAGCTTTCTTCTTTGACTCTACCACCCTGGAAAAATCAAACAGAGTCATCAAGAACAAGGCCTGGCTCCTGGACAGAAACACACATACACTGCCATTTCAGGGCAGTAAAACCACAAAAGATCCAATCACAGAAAATTCCAGAAGTCCCTAGAGGGGCTAGACCTCTGATTAATAATAAACCCTCCCAACTTTGCACAGTACCAGGTACATACTTCTTGGTCTTAGCATCCTTCATGACCTTGGCATCAGCCTTTGCGCTTTTTAGGTCTCTCCGAGCATCTGCTAGCTGTTCCTTCTTGGCATCAATCTGAGTAGAGAAGAACACAGTAAGGTTAGGAGTGAAGTGAGCCAAAAAGGAAAAAGGGAAGGGCTCCATCACAGAAGATGAAACCTGGAAGCAATCTCCAGCAGGCAGGCTCGCTCTTTTTTTCTCGGTGGTTTGCCAGGTAAAAACACCCAGAGTGGCTTCATGAAAGTACAGAGGAAATACACAGTGACTGCTGAGTTAAGTGGCTGTTTATTATTCATGTATTTTCTCCAGGGAACCTTCAAGAAAAAGGGCTTGATTGAGAACTGATAACCTGGGACCTCATCAGTCCAGAAGCTCAGGAAGAGAGCCTGGTGGGACCAGGATTTTTGGATGCTAATCTTTCAATGACAGAGCATCATAAGAAGGGCTAGAGATGACAGCTGTTATCAAATGGGTCCTGTGCCAATTTCTGGGCTTCACTACAAGGAGGAGCTATTTTTGAAGAAGCTGAGGCATAATCCTTGCAAATAATAAGAGCACTTCACTATTCAGCTTCTACCAGCACTCTGCAACAGAGCTGCCATCTTCTCAAGAAAAAACAATGCACTGAAGAGAATATCCAAGAAGCTAAAAATATGGCAATTAAAAGGTACACAGGAAATAAGCAGCTCGGCCAGTCTATCCCAAATCAATACAAGCATGGCCTGGTTCTGGCACTGTTTTGAAAAGGAGATGAGATGGGAGGGAAGTTATAACTCAAAAGTAAGAGGTATGAAAATATTTAACTTTTGACACTTCTTCCTCAAATCAAATATGGTGGAAAGGAAGAGATAAGAGTTGTTTGAGTCTTTCTTGCTTTTTGGAATCCTTGAAGCATTTCTGGAATTTAAGTTCTTGGTTTTTGTTTAGAAACCACAGCAGGTAATGCCATGAAGCTAGAGTCCAAACCAGTGGCCTCAAACTGCTAGGGACAGGAGAACCCCAGAGCTGCAGTCACCTTGCTGACCTGTGAGGTCAACAGAACCTCCACAGAGAAAATAAATACATGCTTGATTCACACACACTGGCCTACTGCTCAGAGTCTAGAATTGTTTATTAGACACACACACACACAAACACACACAGCTCATGACTAAAAACAGAGGCCATCATTGTGAGAGAATCATTAAATATGTTTTACTATGAATGGCTCGCTTCCAACATCTATGTTGTCCAAAGCCAAGCTGAGGGAATAGATTCTAAATACAAAAGCATCACAGATGCCACAAGCCAGATTTTTCTCAGGCTAGAAATGCAGCAAACCACAATCTTTTAACCATTTATGTGAATGCTAAATTGGCAGGCTGTGTCAAATTCTCTCAAAGCGTCAAAGAATCCATTGATTCACTTGGAGAACAGGGGCGTGTGTTTGCTTTGTGGGCACATAGGACAGGAGTTCCTGGGCTTGGAGGGCTCGTCTGGCAGGCAGCCTGGGCTGCCCAAACAGTGGTTTCAGAATGAGAGCAACAAAAGGCCTCCTCATGCTCCAGGGAGGGTCTCCTGAATTAGGTAAATAGCACTTGAATATTTATGTTTTTATTTTTGGTTTGGAATAACATGAAAAGAATAAACAATACTAGATGACCACCAGCTAATGGAGTGGCAGCAAATGGGTGCTACTAGGATGGACAGTCTATATAAAGTTCCCTGCCCACCAACATGGTTCAAGGATTTTTAGTCACGTATATTCCTTCATCATGGACATGTACAGCCCTTTGGGACAGCCAGATGGCATCTGTAGCATAAATAGGCTGTATCTGTTTTTTGACCCAGATGTACTACTTCTGGATACTTATCTTTGAGAAATAAATAGAAGGAATATACTCTGAGCCTGAAAATGTACAAGTCACATTCCATAAAACCAGTTTTTAAATTTCACAAACTTGGCTCAAAAAAAAACCAAAAAAACACACACTGTAATTTCCTTAACCTCTAGTTGAAATTTAGTATTTCTTCTTAAATATTAATGTGGGCAATGAACTATAATAATATCAGTAGTACCTGTTATTACCACCAATAAATGTCATATTTTCATATCACAACTGTTACAAAAATCCTGAATTAATATTTATATTCATTACTACCTTGAAATTTACAGTACTCAGAACCAAGACTTTACATACATTTAGTAACTGTATTTGATATAATTGGTTTCCTCTGGAACCCTGTGTGTTTATTCTACAGTGAAATATCTGTAAATGCTCACTGTGAGTTAGCAAACTAGGATGGGTTAGTTATGCAGCTATTGCAAAGACAGAAATGCTCATTATCAAATGTTAAGTGCCTAGTGGCTTAAAAGCTCAGTACCAGGCAGAGTTGTAGGGAGGAGAAAGGCACACGGAAGAGGAACAGCATCTCCTTGTTTGCACGTCAGTCTCTCCCTCTAAGGCAGCAACTCTGTCTGGCACACAGCCAGTATTCAACAGATGTTTGATGATGAACTATAAATAAAAATATGATTCATGTAGAACGTGTAACAATAAAAATAGTTGTGCTAGGACTACTGAGAACTTAAATATCATTGTTTCATCATCTTTTCTATTTGAAACAATCTAGTTTGGAAATAGTTGTATTTCTGAGCTGTGGCAAGAACTATGAAAATTCTTTATAACTATTTTCCTCATGCAACAATTAGCAATTAGAGGGTACATCAAAGTTAGCTTTTGAAAACAACACGTGGCCAATGTGGAATTTCTATCCATAGATCAGATTTCCTGAACAACAGGTATCCTGATATTTGGAATCCTGACAGGGATAATAACCATTATAATATTTCCACCTGTTTATTTTTAGCATGGACCTTTCTTTCAGAACAGAACTGGCCTGATAATATTGCATCATAAAAGGATAGACTATTAAAAAAAAAATTCTGATTTGCAGATGGTTTGCCGACAGCAGACAAGGTTCATTCACTTTAATACCCCATATCCAAAATACCTTAGATTGCAAGTTCATCATAGACTTCTCAAAAGTTTTGGGTGGTGCCCTCTGATGGTTACAAAGAATTGCAACAGCTCTATTGGCACGGTTGTAAGAAAGGATCTTTGCTGGGATGTTCTCATCCGCTGTAAAGAAAAGAAGAATGAAGAGTTTATATGTTGGGGCCAGCACTGTGGCACAGTAGGTTAATCCTCTGCCTACAGTGCTGGCATCCCATATGCGTGCCAGTTCTAGTCCCGGCTGCTCCACTTCCAATCCAGCTCTCTGCTATAGCCTGGGAAAGCAATGGAAGATGGCCCAAGTGCTTGGACCCCTGCACTCATGTGGGAGACCCGGAAGAAGCTCCCCAGCTATGGCTGTTGCGGCTATGTGGGGAGTGAACCAGTGGATGGAAGACCCTTCTCTCTGTCTCCCCCTCTATCTGTAACTCTATCTCTCAAATAAATAAATAAAATCTTAAAAAAAGAGGGCGGGGGTGGGGGGGGAGGAAAAGGAAAGTCATCCTTAGAATCTGTAAGCCCTCTCTGCCCATGATGATTTCTGTCCTTATACCTTTAAGAATTTATATGCCAAAAGAACATACATAATGTGTCTTCCCCAAGATTTTACCGGTAGTTATTGCACTCAAGACAGAGTCAAAATCTGAGGCAAATGTGTTATGAATGACAGCAAGAACTTTCTATTTAAGTTTAGACTGGATTTTTTTCCCATCATAAGGATTTTGGGTCTTTTGGGTATTATGAAAACTACATCTTTCTTTTTGCCCAAGGTATTTTGTCAGAGATTCTTCATCTGCTTGCCTAATTCCTTACTTCCACACACAAGAAAATGAAGAAAATGTGGAATCTGAACAGAAGAAGTTTGTAAAGATAATGAGACACAGGAAGCTTAGATTTACATTTCTAAGCCACAGGCAGTATATTATTATTATTTAAAACTTACAGATTTCTGGGGCCAGTGCTGTGGTATAGTAGGTAAAGCCAAGCTTGCAGTTCCAGCATTTCATAAGGGTGCCAATTCGAGACCCAGCTGCCCTACTTCCAAACCAGCTCTCTGCTATAGCCTAGGAAAATGGTAGATGTCCCAAGTCTTGGGGCCCCTGCACCCACATGGGAAACCAGGAAGAAACTCCTGGCTTTGGATCAGCACAGCTCTGGCCATTGCGGCCACCTGGGGAATGGACCAGTAGATGGAAGACCTCTCTCTGTGTCTCTGCCTCTCAAATAAATAATTAAATCTTTTTTTAAAAACTTTTACTTAATATAAATTTCCAAAGTACAGCTTATGGATTACAATGGCTCCCCCACCCCAATAACTTCCCTCCCACCCAATAATTAAATCTTAAAAAAGAAATTCAAATTATAGATGTCATCCAAATAAAATTACACTTTAACATATTTATGGAAGGCAGTTGAAATTTAATAGTGACTGGACTCCAAGAAAAAGCCTGTCGGTCCTGCTGGTATTGTCTATGGCTAGTTTTTAGCCTATTATTTTCTCTTGTTGGGGGGGATGAATAAAAAGATAGAAACCTCAGGAAAAGGAGTTGCTCCTGTATTTTCTGGAAAGCACCGACAACTTTACTCCTTCCAATTACTTTCCTTTTAAATATTTATTTATTTGAAAGAGTTACACAGAGAGAGGGAGAGACAGAGATCTTCCATCCACTGATCCACTCCCGCAGGTGGCTGCAACGGCCAGAGTTAGGCCAGGCAGGAGCCAGGAGCTTCTTCCAGGTCTTACAAGTGGATGTTAGGGGCCCAAACTCTTGGGCCATCTTCACTGCTTTTCCCAGGCCATTAGCAGAGAGCTGGACAAGAAGCAGAGCAGCCCGGACATGAACCAGCGGCCATATGGGATGCAAATCGCAGAAGGCAGCTTTACCTGCTATGCCACAATGCTGGCCCTACATCCTCCAATTTAACAACATCACAGCAATGTCTTTACCATGTGAGCTTTTGAATAACAGATAGAAAATGCAGGCATTTTCAGAATAGATGACGTTGAAATAGGAGTGAGGAAATAGCATGGAGTTTATACAATGAAGTTTTACTTCAGGCCTTGTCTGGCCATAAACAATACTTACGAGCTGTGAGTTCTTTTAGCTGCTGTTGTAGCGTGATGGAGGCATTGTATGTACGGAATACCTTGGCTGTTAAGCCCTCCATGAGATCCTGAAGATGCTTATTTAGAATGCCAGTCTGAAAGAGACAAAGCAACAGAGAAGATACTGGGATTTTAGATAAAAGTCATGATGACCCTGCCCCTTCTAGAAAGGCCAAGGAGTCATTTAGGCCAGCATAGTCACTGCCCTGCAAGTAGAAGTTAGGAAAAGAATTCCAGAATGAACACTATGAAGCATTTCAATCTTAAGCAGGTCAATTAAGCAAATTTGGCATTTCCTATTAAAATATCAGTGACAGGTTTTGGGTCGCCAGCACAGGTGAACATCAAGCCAGAAGGCTCTGTAGGAGCCACAGGAAAATGAAAGGCAAGGGTCACCTAACCCCATGCCTCTGGGTTTTAGCAGAGATAATTGCTCCTAGTCAGGGATTCACTGTGTGCCCCAAAAGAGGGAAGAGTATCTAGAGTGCCACAGGACCAGGCAGGCTGAAGAAGGAACCCCAGTCACCACCCAGCAACCCCATTAGGAGCTTGTGAAGTCCATCTGAGACACCCTTCAGCCAAGGTACTTTGTCTACTCACATTGAGTCGGTCAAAAAGATCATCCTCAGGTTGCTTATTCTCCATAAATAACTGTAAGTTCTTAAAAACCTAAAAGAAATGAATTATTATTTTTTAAAAATTGACTTAGGAATAATTTCAAACTTACAAAAAAAGAAAAGGTAAAAAGGAACACCAATATATCCTTTTAACCAGATTCACTGGCCCAGCTTATTCCATGCAGGACATTTGCCTGCTTTTTCCCTGTGTGTGTACTTATGTATATGCATGTGTATATAATATATAAACAAGTATTTTTTTTCCCTGAGTCACCTGTAGGTACTTACATATATTATGTCCCTTTAGCCCTAAATAGTGTGTATTTCCTAAAAATAGAGAACTGTTCCCTTACATCCACACAGTACTGACAGTCTCATGAATTTAAATGATATATAGTATTATCCTCTATCCATATTCCCATTTTGTCAGATGACCTAATGATGTCCTTTACTTCTCCAATGAAGAGTCCAATGTAAAGTCAGCTATTACATTTAACTTTAGGTCTCTTAAGTCTCCTTTAACCTGGAGCACCTCCAAACCAGCAGAACTAATTACTCATTAAACATCTATCCTCTGGGTCTCTGGCTCAAGCCCAATACTTCAGGAAAAATTAGGTTAGCTATGGAGTTTTAGTGCCCTCCTCAGTGATGGATTCAGAGATCTTGGGACTAACAGCTTACCCTTTCACAGTCAGTCATAGAGAGGCTGAGCAAAAACACAAAGCAACAAAGATGAAAAATGACCAGGGAATACCAAGTTGTGGTTGAGTCATGAAAACAACATAGTTTCAATATTACATTAGGTTTGCTGTGAGGGCCAGTTCTCTCTACTATGTTGTTGAATACTGCTAGAGAAGATAGCCTTTTATTCTCAGAAAGTAGCCCAGGGTCAAGGTCAGGCACCAAATAATACCCCTCTCTATCTTTCAAGTCATTTTTGCTAGTTCCCAGCAGAGTGCAGAGTCCACAAAACAGCCCTCCATAAATGCTTACTGAATGGATGTAGAAACAGGCAGGAAGCACAGGCCACATTAACTTACTCTCTTCTCAACAGGGACCTTGTTATAGTATCTGATTGAGTCCTTCCCAAGGAAGTCAAACTCTACCACGTACTCCTGACCATCCAACTCTGGGTGCAGATTGATGTGCTCCACACGAAGTGAGCAGCAACCCACAGTGTCTGCTGTTTCTCCTTCTTCCTTCTCATTGCCTGCTCTCAGAGCAAGCTGTCCAGGAAAGAGAGAGGGGTGGGGGGAGGAAAAAAAATGAGTATGAATACAGAGATAGACACCTCACAGGATCTCTAGGAAACACAGAAGTCTCCTAATTCTCTTTGGGGACAGAGTCAGCAGTCTGCAAGCTGAATTCCTCAATGTTAC